GTGTGTGTGTGTGTGTGTGTGTGTGTGTGTGTGTGTGTGTGTGTGTGTTTGTGTGTGTGCGTATATATGTATATTTATTATTTATGTATAGGTATTTTTGTATATATATATTTACATGTATATGTCAATCTTGCAATAGTGTAAGCCTTTATTTGCTCGTCGTGTATACACAAAACAGTTCTATCTAGGTAATGCCGTTACTATCAAAAGCTCTACGTATTCAGATGTAGGGTTTTAATTCAACCCCGTGTCCCAGTGTTCCACCGCTCCTTTCGTATATCCGCCATTGTATTTATACTTCGTCTCGATGTTCATGTGGTGGCACCCTTCGCCACTTACACACCCACCGGATGCGCTAACTGACTAGGCTTGTAACCTGTGGCTGCGTATTGCGTTCGCTTAAAGAGACCCCCATCTTCTCATACCAGTTACTTTTTTTTGTTTTTTAATTCATACGCCCGCCTTTGCTGGCTACGCTGGTAACTGACAGACACTCAGCACCGCTGAGAAGTCCTCCAGCACTCTATCCAATATCCCTCGGTTGATGTTCTCATACCACAGAATATCGTCGAAATGATTGGTGCCTCGGAAGTACGGACACAGCCTATGTCACCATAGCAACCCGGCAAGTGCACGGCATTAGTTATCGATTAAAAGAACTGCGACTTACGAGACACACAGCCATACTGCGTCTTCTGAAGAACAGATACCCTACATAAGCCTATATACTGCATTCTGAGACACAGTCATACCTTTCTTATGTAGCACACACAGCGCAACTTACGCAAAACAGACAGCCGCGCGTAGCCGATTTCATGCGTGCAGGGTTAGACGTTAGAGCATCTCTGTAAGCAGTTCAACACACCTGCTGTCATACATCTCAGAGTGGTGAGCTATTACATGTACAGTTATCGACAATACGCCAGAACACATACTAGCGCCAGCAGAAACCGTACCCACCCAATCCAATGCACATATAACAGGTGCCCCAATGGGTTGTACAAGACACAACCACACACACGCACGGCTCTATTGCTTATTTTAGTTGCCCCTGAACACTTGCACACGCTATACTACTTGTGTGTACAAAGTTCGGTACCAGAATGTTTAGGGGTCTAAGGGTTTATCATGTTAGGGTTTAGTATGTCGTATAGGGTTTTAGGGTTTAGCATGTCGTATAGGGTTTTAGGGTTTAGCATGTCGTATAGGGTTTTAGGGTTTAGCATACCTTGCGAATGCGGCGAGTTTGGCGGTCTCGGCGGCAGCTGGCACTGCATAGATGCCCATGCGTTCTGCTTCAGTCGTATTTATGTACAGAATCTCTGACAACGGGTGCATGGACCCCGAAAGCGCATAGGAGCATTAGACTGTGGCTATGGCTATGGAGGTTGCTTACATGTGTTGCAGCGTGTATGAAACGTGGTTGTAGCTATGGCTATAGAGGTTGCGTGCGTTTGTTGATGCGGATACAAAATGTGGTTGTAGCTATGGCCATACAGTTTGCGCGCGTGTGTTGAAGTGTGTATGATATGTATCCTATTGCGATGTGTGGTGGTGCTGTGGCATATTGTGTATCATGGGAGCTCTACATGCATCAGCGAGCGCGTATACGTTATCCACAACTGAGGACTGGTGGTACTCGCAGGTCTCCGCTAAAGACTGCGTACAATCTACTGAGAAACCACTAAGGACTGCTTGTTCGGATAGAGTATGAGTGCCCCACACTGTCTGCACACACACGTCTTTGCATCCGATATATATGCCGACATGACCTGGTTGCAATAGGAGAAGTAGCATGATCTCTAGATGAAAGCTCAGTATCAAGGGAAACCCCTAAACACAACAGTATATGGCTTGGTGATACGGATAGGTGCGCATGGCTCTATCCCTCTACCGGTTACGGTAGAGGTGTGCGATATCCCTGTACGTGCAGTGATGCTTGTGAGCAGAATTGAGTGGCAAATGTGTGCCGATTTACTGCAGGACGCCAACAAGTACACACACCATGGGCAAGCATGCACAGGCCTTGAAACAAACATCTCCGCATGCGTCATTGACAGAGAACACGCAACTGACAGCACATAGCGCAGTCGCTTACCTTTCAAGTCTGAAAGCAAATCACACGCCATGTCTATTGACCGCAAATCTGTAACGGAACAAACGGGTAGAACGTGATCAGTAGATGACACAGCCAGTGTGTCGGTAATAAGTTATCAGTAGACGGCACAGCCAGTGTGTGGGTAATAAGTGATCAGTAAACGACACAGCCAGTGTGTGGGATATAAGTGATCAGTAGATGACACGGCCAGTGTGTA